CTGAAAGGCTCTCTAGACCCTGGTTTCTTTTTCCGGGAGGAAGACCGGCCTGTCACAACAGTGGCCACCAAGCAACCTAGGGCTAAGAAGCCAGGCGCAGGGCTGTGTGTGTGGAGCGCAGGCCAGGTCCCATAGACTAAAAGATGTACTTGCTTTTCTAAAGCCAGTGTGAGCCGGCAGGTGGCACGCGGAGAACTAGGTTGCTGCAGAGAAGACAACCACGAGGGTGGCCTGAAACGCAGTAGGTGGCCCAGCCCACTCTCCGGTCCCTTCTGCCTGCCTCTCTACCCCCAGTAGACATAGCTGGGACTTCCGCCTGGGCCCAGCTCTATCAACAGCAGCCTGCAGATGGAAAGAAAGCCCATGGCCTGTGTGGGTGACGGTGCCCGGAGGCTCCTACTGGAATGTCAAGTGACTCCCCACACCTCCTATCTCCTTCCTGGCAGACCTGTGGAGGCAGTGTGCACCCTGAGCCCCCCTGGGACTCCTCTGGGGAGAAGACGCCACACTGGAGAGGACGTTGGCTTTGGCCAAAGGCTGCTGAGACACCCCTGAGCAAAGCCAGAGGGTTTTACTGTGGCTAGGCAGGTTGAGCTGTATTTTGCAGAGGTGAGTGGGCACAGAGATAAGCCTGGCCCTGTCTTTCTCTACTTGGCTCTTCAGGGTGCTGCCAGACACCCTGGATGAAGCCCGGTTTCCGCTCCTTGGCTCATGCAGCTCTCTCTCTCTCTCTCTCTCTCTCTCTCTCTCTCTCACTCTCACTCTCACTCTCACTCTCACTCTCACTCTCACTCTCACTCTCACTCTCACTCTCACCTCCAGCTCTGCTCCTGGCCTCGGGGCACACTGTCCCCTTTACCTCATTCCCTTCGCTCGCTCGCTCGCTCCTTCTGCTCGCCCCTCAGCCAGCAGTTGAGCAGTGCCTCCTCCTGGAAGCCTTCCCCAACCGCTAGCTCCCAGCCTCAGTTACGGTACTCACGCCCCCCACCTGTCTGCATCACACACTTGTCACATCTGTCTGCAAACTGCTTCCCATGAGCCACCAGATGTAGCTCTTTAGACCAGGACCAGCCTCGTGCTCAGCGACATATTTCTAGAGCTGAAGGAGGCCAGGAGGAGTCCGCAGAGGAGAGGCTGGAGTCCTGTCCCTATCTAGGAACACCAAAGGTCTGAGAAAGGCCAACGCCATCACCCAGGACACTGGTGTTTTAGCCTGGGGGAATTGTAGGAAACCTCAAGGCTAGTCAGGCCAGGGGCATGTGGCCACTCTTAAAAAGCCTATAGCCACGGTGCCTGCTAGAACTTTGCCATCCCTCCTCCCAGCCCTCTCCCGTTTCTCCCAACTCACAGAATGCAGGCTGGGTCAGTTTACAGAACTGGGGTCCCCCTGAGACACAGGGGCTTCCTTACCTCGGAAAGTCACTTTGGCGATCCGGTCACTTCTGCCTCGCAGCTCCGAGACGGTCTTGAGGTGGACGATCAGGGCCATGCTGGTGGGGAGAGCCTGGGCAGCGCCAGGCAGAGCGGCAGGAAGGAGCTGGCTGGTTGAGTGCGGCTCACACACCACCTGCTTCTCTGGCTGCTGCCGCCTCCTGATGCTGCCCACAGAGACCAAGGCAACCAAAGCGAGCTGCTCCTTCAGCTCAGCAGAGCCTTGCAGCCCTGCCAGCCCCGCCCCTCCGTCAGCCCAGCATGTGTGTAGAGAGTGTGTGTGTGTGTGTGTGTGTGTGTGTGTGTGTGTGTGTGTGTGGTGTTCACCCAGCGTCGGGAATGTACGCTGAATTCATTATTCAGCAGCACCAGCCCCTAGATAAAGCTCTGTCCAGCTTCAGGTGTCTTCTCTCAGCTCCTTGAATGGAAGCTCCTGCCACTTGGAGGATGGACCCTCTAGGCCACTAAGAGCCAACAGACCGCAGAAGGCGTGAGGATGGGGTGGGTGTGGGGTCAGGGCACCTCTTCTGCTGGGGATCAGGAAGTTCATGATCTGAGTTTGGATTGGAGCGCTGGTGTCTTGGGGGGGGGCGTTATCCACGATGACTCCCTGTTCTCTCTTGCTTATCACAAGGGTTGTGGATGCTCAGAGGGCTTGGGGAACATGGGCAGGCCAGGCCCAGCCGCTCTGGATGGATCGTGCTGTGTCACTTAGAAAGCCTCACTCAGGGACAATGGAGATGCCTCAGTGGGTAGAGAATCTGCCACAAAAGCTTAAGGACCTGAGTTTGGATTCTAGCATCTGTGTTAAAGATGGGTGTAGCGGCATGGGCTTCTAACCCAGCTCTAGGGTGAGGGAAGGGTGGAGACAGAATTCCTGGAGTTGAATGACCACCCCAGCCTTATCTGAATGGATAAGCGCCAGGTTCAGGAAAGAGACCTGTCTTTAAATAGTGACTAAAGAAGACAGTGGAGGTTGACCTCAGGCTTCCATGCATAAACACATGCATATACCTACATGGATGCATACATAACACACACACACACACACACACACTTCACTCACCTAGAGTCTGGACACACCACACACTTGCCTAGAGTGTAGAAAGTAGCTTCTATAAGGCAGCTTAGAGGATACACCCAAGGGCTGGTCCCTCTGAAATACAAACATTAGAAGTAGCAATGTAGTGACCACCTGGCCATGCCCCTGGGACGCTATGTTTGTGCCCCTGGCATGCTAGGTTCTGGTGCTCTGTGCTGGGATCATGGGTTTGAATTTCAGGCAGCTGGTCCTGAAATGGAAATCATCACCAGAGAGACCCTTCTGGGAGGCCACAGGGCTGCTTCTGTGTAGGGCAGTGTGTAAGACTCAGGACACCGATGTAGTTTTTTTCTCTTGGGGGGGGGGCTGCCACCCAGCTCCCAGATAAATCACATGGAGACAAATTCTTACTTATGAATGCCCAGCCTTAGCTTGGCTTAGTTTCTAGTTAACTTTTCTTAAGTAAAATGATCCTATCTACCTTTTGCCTCTGGGCTTTTCCCATTCTCTTACTTCTGTAAATCTTACTCTTACTCCATTGCTGGGTGTAGCCGAGTGGCTGGCCCCTGGAGTCCCTCTCCTTCTCTGGCTGCTAGCTCTCATTCCTCCCAGATTTCTCCTATATATTCTCTGTGCCTGCCAGCCCCGCCTATCCTTTCTCCTGCCTTGCTATTGGCCCTTCAGCTCTTTATTAGACCATCAGGTGTGTTAGACAGGCACAGGAACACAGCTTCACAGAGTTAAACAAACACAACATCAGCAAAAGTAACACACCTTAAAATAATATTCTACAACACCCCAACCTCCCCATCCCTGGCTGGGGACCACGAACTGGGGGAGGTGATGCAGTGAATGGGGGGTTTCCAGTGATCGGAGAGCTACCTTGCTTCCCCTAATCAGCTGCTAGAGGTGACAGGAAGGACATCTGTAGAGGAATCCAAGGGACATCAGAAGACTGTCCACCCCCTCTTCCAGGAAGGGCTTGTAGGGAAAGGAGCCCAGGAGGACTCGATCCCCTGACCCTGGAGTCTGCACACCCTTGCTCATGTTGCTCACTCTTGGTGGGATGTCCCCCATCTTGTCCCTGCCTCCTGCCCTGGCTTAGCACAGGTCCATTCTCAGGGCTAACTCTGCACCTGCACTCAGATGGGCTTTGGGACCCCCTTTGTGTGGCTACTGATCCGGGTTATCTCTCACTGCCACGGGGTTTCTGCCTGTCCTCACACCTCCCCTGCGGACCCCAGGGAGATCCTCATACCTGAAAACTTCACAGGGTATCCTGTAATAGTCAGATGTCCAGTGAATATGAACAGGGCTTGGAAGCTCAGTGGCCTGTCCAAAGGAGTCTACAGGCTTTGGGCTGGCCGAATGGCTCAGCAGGTGAGGGTTCTTTGCTGCCCAACCTGATGGCCTGAGTTTGATCCCTGGGACCTCTATGGTTGGTAGGAGAGGATCAGCTGGACTTCTGGCTTCCAGATGTGAGCGGAAGCACATGTGCGCTCTCTCTCTCTCTCTCTCTCTCTCTCTCTCTCTCTCTCTCTCTCTCTCTCTCTCTCTCACACACACACACACACACACAGAGAGAGAGACCATGTGCCCTCTCCACATCGATGATAAATAAATAAATAAATGTAATAAACGGGTTTGAAGGTTTAAGGAGAGAAGTGCTAAACTTTCTCCGCTCGCTAACAAAGATACCCCCTCGGAATCCCTCAGGAGAGTAACCTACAAACATCCAAGAGCCTTCCCCGTCTAACTATTCCTTGTTTTTGTCCCTATTTTTCCGTGTGCTTATTTTCTTCTCCCTCCCCAATTTCTGCTCGCCTTTCCCACATATATTTAATGACACCAGGTTAGAAAATTCTTGGGAAACGCATATGTTGAATGCGAGCAAATATCTAAAAATTTTAAAGACCAAGTTTAACGTCCCTTTAAAATGACACAGATTCATCTTCATGGGTAAGGCTCAGTGGTACTTAGCAGTCCCCCTTCCTGAGGGTCCCTTGGTTGCGTTTTGCTGTAAAGGGTGAATTTTATGGAACCCTTTGCAGCCCTGTGCACGTCGAGGGAAAATCCTACAAAGCAGCCCTAGGGACCGTCACCAAACCTCAGTGTCCCTGTCTGTAAGAAGACGGCAGTCCTAGTGAGCATACCTTTTCTCCAGCAGCTGACCTTTCCAAAAGCTGCCCCCGATACATGAGTCAGAGTTCATGCAGAAAAAAACAGGGCTTAGTGATCCAGAGCAGCTCAGGAGGGGGATGTGTCCGTGAGCTGGGCCAACTGGGATGCCGTTAATGGGGAGGAAGTGAGTGTGTCACCTTGTAGAGCTGGGGTCATTGGAAAGTCTTCCTGGTGGATGTCGCATCAGAGCTACAGGCCACCTTTTAAAAACTTTATTGGCTGGGCAGTGGTGGCACACGCCTTTAATACTAGCACTCGGGAGGAAGCGGCAGGTGGATCTCAGGACAGCTTGGTCTACAGAGCAAATTTCAGGACAACCAGGACTGTTACACAGAGAAACTCTGTCTTGAAAAAACAAAAACAAGACTTTACTGAATGTTTTCCTTAGTGCAGCACATGTCTCCCCAGGAGGCTTGGTAAACTATAGATATAACTGGATGGCGTTTTCTCCACTGACTTGGCAACCACTCACCCACCTTTGGCTTCTCTGCCACACCAGGTTTCAGTTCTGATGCATGTGCGGCACACACCCCTCTTCAAGCATGTGGCTCCCCACCTCCCAGACTCGTTTGGCTTCTGTTAGAGGGTATCTTTGGAGTTTTCTGGTTGCAGGGGCATCCTGTGAGTTCATTAGTGTCTGTGGTCTTCATCAGCTGCCATTTACAGAGTCCAGTTGTACAGGTGACACTTCTCCCAGGCTGATATGGAAGAAGAGACCGTGTCGTGATGGTTAATATGGACAGGCTACTTGATAGGACCCGGATTTGCCTACAAGTGGAAAAGCCTCATGGAGGGTAGGCGGTTTGTGTAAAGCAAATCTTGTGCAGACTTCAGGGCTTTGGTGGCTGGAGGGAAACCCACCCCTGAAGACTCCTGTGCAGAATGAACGGTGGCACTTGAGACAAATCTAAACCACACACTTCATTACCTACTTCCACATCACCCTAATAAAATAATGGACTAAAACGACCTAACAGAGCCAGGCTCTATTTTAGATAGCAGTTTCAATCTAGCTCAGTGGAGAGGCATGGAAGAGCAGCCCCGTTCATCTCAGCGATCAGAAAACAGAGTGGGGCCAGAACCAGGGGCCGAGGCATAACTTTCCAAGGGTGGCCCGTAGCAACCCACTCACTCCAGCCAGGGACCGTCTCCTACAGGATTCTTTGTCTAAAAAGTCATACCCACCCGAGGAGCAAGGCTCAAAACAGGAGCCTGTGAGGGACATTCTAGACTCAAACTATAACATGCACACCCTCCTTCCCCTCCCCCTGCCCCCGCCTCTGCTCCTGGAAGTGTCTCACCAAGTTGCCCAGGCGATCCTCAAAACTAGCAATCCTCCTGCCTCAGCCTCTGAAGATGAACTTAACAGGTGCAAATCATCAAACACAGCTCACTCTTTCTGAAGAATGTGAAAGAGGAGAGGGTAATGAAGACATGAAGGAGGAACACGAAAACGACGGGGCTGGGAAACCACACATCACGTGAGGCCCACCACGGAGCCCCTTCCGGAGCTCCAAGGATGGAGGAGCTCTGGGCATCCTAGTGGTCCACACTGGATCACCGAGAGCCGCTTCCGCACCCTTTGTGAACTCCATAGATATGAACACCTAGGCTGGAGACCCAGGGAGACTTGGCGGAGCCAACAGAGTACATTGGTAGGGGTGCGGGTAGGGGGCATCTTCTCAGGCCCGCGAGGGAGGCGGTCTAGGGAGCACACTGCAAAGAGGACTCGCTGTCCCAGAACGAACTCGGGTTGCCAGGCATGTGGTTGCCGGGTGACCAGCTGGCTGTTTACCATAGGGCTGAGCCGAGCCACAGCACCGGGCTCACAGCACCCCCACCATGGCCTCCCGTAGCGCGGGCACACTAATGACCGAATTCAATGCCGCCTTCGTGCCCCCCGCTCTCATGCCCGGGTAAGCTGCCAGGCACCCTGGCACACCTGAACCTACAGGTCAGGGCTCTCCTCTTCCCTACTACACACACCTACCAGGATGCCGAGGCCCCGCCCTTCCAATTTGGGGGAGACTTCAAGGAAACCCACCTGGCCAATTTTTTCCTTCTTGGGTTTCACGGCTTTTCTACTACAACGACAGTCAGTGGCAGGTGATGAGGCTGGAGAAGTTGATGGTTGAGAATCAGCCCAGGATGATGCCATCTGCTGTGGATGGGGCCAGAGTGAGGGAGAAGGAGGAGATTGTGTGTGTGTGTGTGTGTGTGTGTGTGTGTGTGTGTGTGTGTGTGTGTGTGTTTGAAGCAGCAGCCTGGCTCACAGAGAAATAATGTGAGATGTGAGGGGGAGCATGGGAGCACGCTGGATTTTCCAGGAATATGAGTATTTATGGATTGAAGGAGGAACTGGGGCTGGGTGGGCATGGCTGGCAGAATCTGGCAGGGCAGTATTTGACAGTTGGTAGAGTACACTCTCCACCTGATTTTTACACATACTCTCTTCTGCACACTGAACAGACTGCAAAATGAAAACCACCAGCCTCAACAGAACACAGTATATTTTGCCTAACGTTTGAGGTTGTTTTTTTTCCCCCAGCAGAAGCCGCAAGGCATGGAGGGGCCGTCATGTTATCATTTTCAGAAACAATACACACTGAAGTAGCTGCAACCGGAGGATGGGGCTTTAGTTTCCATCTGGCCTGTCTGTGAACGGGACCTTCCTCTGGTGTTCAGTCAGCTCAAAAGCTGCTTTGGTCGCCACCAGACAAAGCTGGTTGTACAAAAGCTTCCCAAAGGCAAGCCAGGAGTGTGGGATCAGCTTGCCTATTCACTCATTCTTCACTAGGAAAAGAAGTTGAGTGCTCCTGGGGCATTGCCGGGTGTTAGGGGGTCCTGGGGGAAATAGAGACAAATGGGGAGAGATTGCCCTTGAGGGGCCCCAGTCTTCTATTTAGATTTTGAGACAGGGTCTAAGATTTTGAGCTCCGCGGTAGGCTAGGCTGTCCTTGGACTGCTCCTGCCTCGGCTCCCCCAAGTGCTGGCATTAGAAGTCTATGGCTCCAGGCCTGGATCTCATGTCCATACTTAAGATTTAGTTCAAATTCATCTCTGTGGCCACGGCTAGTAGTGTTTTCGCCATAGTCTGGGGGTCTGTCATGAGGTTTGGCTTGATACACTGATATTTATATTTATTATATTGGCTTGATACACTGAAGCCCCCACAGGCTTCTTATTGGAAGAATCTCTGCTGTCAGACCCCTTGGTTCCTTACGGCCTACAGAGCAAGGCCTGGTGTGTCTGCAGCCCTGTCCCACAATTCCCTCACTCCGGAAGCTATGGGAGCTGTGATCTCAGGGCAGTGCCCACAGCGTCTCTCTAAACCTCCCACTTGTCTCCAGTTCCACTGAGTGCCACATAATGCCTTTAGGAATAGTAATGACGAATGGGCCATAAAGAAGGCTTTACTGGCCTGGATTAGGCTGGGCAGCTGGGCCCACGTCTTCTGCTTTCTTGTTGAGATCTTTCTGGGAGAGAGATGCTTTCCTTAAAGGTCTCCATCAACAAGGAATGAATCAAGACATCTGGTGTTTCTACACCTCCCTGGCAATTCCGCTAACTTAATGAAAGAAATCCAGGATTCCCTACCTCGCTTGGATAATTATTATTTTTTTCTGTTCTTTTTCAAACGTTAATCACAGATTCTAAAGAACAGCCAGTCTCTCCTGACACTCACATCACCTCCTTTGTAGTTTTATCCACAGGCAGAGAATATTGGGTTGGTTAGGACCACACAGCTCTCACAGCCCACCTCCTTGCTCTTTCAGATATGGGCATGGAGGCCCTGGGGGTCTATGCATGATCCTGCTGGTGACTGTAAGAGCTGGTCTGGAGCCAGGTCTCTGGTGCCTGGCAGTAACACCATAACTCTCCAAGTAGGTGCCGTGTTCACAGTGTGATATGTCCTTTTCAAGCCCCCTCTGTAAAAAGGTCTCCATGGCCCAGTGTGATGGTTCAGCAGGTAGAGGAACTTGACGACCCAAGTTCAATACCTGGGACCCACATGGTGGAAAGAGAAGAGAACCCACTCCTGAAAGTTGTCCTCTGACCTCCCCACACCGGCCATGGCACATACGGCACCCCCCCCCCAAATTAATACATAAAAAAGTATTCATAACAACCAAGAGGGGGAATGAGAATCTTGCCCAGACCCACTCCACATGCCCTCATGGCTTTAATATTCTGCTTAATCCCAGTATCTACCCTGAACCTTCATGGAGCCCATCTTGGGTCCCCTTTCCTGGGCAGGGAGGGGAACAGAGTAGACGGTGAGAGACAGATGCTGGAGCCGGCCTGCCTGGATTTGAACTGGGGTCTCATCACTTCATTACCTTGGGGAAGCTCTTTAGCCCCACTCTGTTCTACTTAGCTTATCTATTGAATGAAGACAACACATGCAAGTTAAAAGAAAGTCAATCAGCCAATATGCACAAAGCCCCCCACTTGGTAGATGTGATCTATTACTGTTAGAATACTACTGTGCTCAAAGCCTGAAGCTCAAAGAAGTGGGCAGCACCAGATGAGGATGATAGTGATAGTGATGATGATGGTGGTGGTGGTGGTGGTGATAACAGCGTTCGGATGGCTGCTAAAATGGCCTGTTTTGTTTCTTGCTGTTCCTAAGTGGCACATTGTCCAGACAACTTCTATAGATTGTAGAAACTATCTGTCCGTACCTGGCTTAGGTGCCACACTATACTGGGTAAAGAACTCTTGGGTCCAAGGCCTTGGGGATCAAGCCTGTTTAAGGGATAAGACTAGCTCCTGTGGGAGTCTGCCCTCTGCCTGCAGATCAGGTGTGGGTGACGCTTTCCCTGGCTCTCTACCTCCATTCACACTTCTAGCTCTCTGTACATTCATTCATGCCCAGCCTGCGTCTTGAAGTTCACTCCAGAGGAGAAAGCATGGATTTGTAGCATTCACCTGGATCTGTGTCAGAAACCCTCCAGAGGTTGCTTAGTTTCGAGATGTCAGCATCTTCTAAAGCTAAGAAGGGATGTGGTGATACATCGCTATATAGGTTGTCGGTTTTCAGCAATTTCAGTTACCCAAAGTCAACCTCAGTCTGCAAATAAGAATAGAAACTTCCAGAGGCAAGTAATTCATAAGCTTTAAATAATTTTTATTACTATATTATTGTAATTGTCCCATTATACCATTAGTTATTGCTAATCTATGATTATGCACAATTTATAAGTTAAACTTTATCATAAATACATATGTATAGGAAGAAAGTGAGTAGAGAGAGTTAAATACCTGGTGATTATTTGCACACTTATTATCTTAGTTTTTCATACCATTTGTTTAATTACAACTTTAAGTAACTCAATTTTTTTACACTAGCTATTTATTCATTTGTTTTTTAATACTAGCCTTTTAAACACCTTTTAAACAGATTTCTGAAGTTTTAGCAACCACTCTTTTGAGGCCAGATCAAGCGAGTACCACCAGCAAACCATTCCCTCATCTGAGGAGGTGGGGCAGAGGGGATGGGGTTGGCCAGGGCTCAGGGCAGGCCTAGCACATGGAGGTGCAGCCTCCAAGATGGGCCAGTCCATGGTGGAGTATGAACCAAAGGCTGTCTCAACTGATGTGGGCATCAGTGTTAGATCTCAGAGCTTTGGTTTGTGTCCCTCTGTGGGCCACACCTAGAGGTTTTGATGCTATTGGTTGGGCTAAGCATGAGGATGAGGTTTTTCAGCCCTCCCGGGTGATTCCAGTGTGGAGAACCTTTGTGTTGGAGCGGGCACCAGCCTAAGCATCCTTTAAAAGGATTCTCCCAGGGTGCAACCTTCCTGTCTGCACTTCTGACAGCTCAGCCTTAGGCTGCAGGGTCTGACGAAGGCCAGCGGGCAGCTACCTTCTGCGAGTCTCATCCCAGCTGCCTGAGCAGGGGGCATTCAGGCAGACATCGGACTCTAGAACCCCCCTCTCCTCCTCTAGACTCTGCCCTTCAGGAAGTCCCATCTAGTGCTCCCCTCCTCAGAGGATGCCTGTTCTCATTTGCTGGGGTCCTCTGGCAAGCAATTTACCTTTCTTCCCAGTGTGGTTCCCGAACCTCTGCCGCAGGGCTATCTCCTCCTCAGATTTCAGCCCTAAACTGAGTTGGGGTGGTTCTTAGATAACTGGTGTCTCCCACACAAGCTGGGGCACTAAGAAGCCCCTGAGAACAGAGTGTCGGGAGCCTGGAAACCCAGGCTACGTATTAGAGGTTCTCCTCCTTTCCTAGAGAAAGATGGGCTCTTCAAAGGGAGCCTCCATTTGTCAATTCAACCCGATAAACACTTAGAGAGCATCTTGCTGGGTGGGAATGGTAGGAGCACAGACAGAAGCAGTAGAAAGAATATTCCAAGGGTTCAGACCATTTCAAATACAACAGAATATGAACAGGTCAAAGAAGAGACAGCAGGGGGTGAGTAGGGCCCAGGAATTCATCAGTAGAGGCTTCCTGGGAAGGAGAGTACTCGGGCTGGGGGGAATTTAGCTTACTTGCCTAGCATGCATGAGGCCCTAGGTTCAACACACAGCACTGTTTAAGAAAAAAGAGTACACTTATCATCACCTGGAATGGCAGACAGGATCACAGAGGGAAGGAGGGAGCCCTCTGGGTGGAGGGGAGGGCTTGAGCAGAAGCAAGGGCTGGAGGTTCTGTATTTTCAAAGCAGCCGTCTAGTTGGCTGGACTGGGAAAGCTTCAAT